TCTAGATGCAATACCCCTTTATAGGTGACAGCCCGGACTTAGCTCACATTCGCCTCCAATTTTGAGAGACAGCACCTTAGGGGAACAGGTTTGATGATTTCCTATCCCAGCAACCTCTTGAGAGGACCTTCGGTTCGCCGCATATTTAGTATGCCGCCCCTTGCCACACAGATACTATATATTTACAAACATCCATACCTACTCCGGGATTCAAGCCCGAGCCCTTTGGTACAGCGGTCGGAGTTACTAACTGCTATCACGGTTGGGTGGCACAACAATACTGAATGCCACAATATGATTTTTTTTTTACCAAGTCAAACTCAGTTTCACTCGGCAGTACCTTTTCGGGCTTCTGGTAGTTGCAAAATCCGTCAGCACATATGGCGAGAAATTTAACGAAGATGTTTTGAGTTTTTATGTATTTTTACTTTGCCACGAAGTGAGAACTGAATTAATTGAATGAGAAATATAGCTCTAATGAAATTCGAGGAAGTAGGTTTAAATGAAATGCAACCAAAAATGCGGGTAATTTAATAGGCTGTAACAAGGAAGTCATGGTGGTGTCCACATTAGATTTGCTTTTTCTTGAGTCTTTGCATTGAAAAAATGAAGTTCTCACAGCAGGTGTATATTTGTATTCAGAAGAAAAAAAGCTCACAAGGTACAAGATGACCTTTAAGATGTAGAAAGTAAGCAAGTGCTTATCCGGTCAAGCTTTTTTTTTTTTTCCTCCTTGAATATCTTCAGGTTAAAAAAAAGTTTCGACGAATTCCAATCTAGAAACGAAATTCACTCGGAGGCTCTCTGCAGCAAAAATCAAAAGAATGGGTTCGCGGATTTTGCACGTACGCCATCCTCTAAACTTCTCGTGCGGCCAAAAGGAAAGAAAGAAAATGACGTCACAGATTTAGATGAGAGTGGCAACATGTTTTTTTTTTTTTTTTTTTTTTTTTTTCCCCGTTTCGGATGGCGTTTTCTTTATCAATAGTAAGAATTTCAACTCCTTTTGCTCTGTCTGTTACTTGCGGAAATGGATGAACAAAATCCGTGGCATTTCCGGTTTTTAGTAAGTTCAAATACAGACACAATTCATCTGCTATGATTTTGTTTTTGAAATATATTACCAGCTTTTGGCCATTTCCCATCACTGTTGACAGTGTTTGCGGTTTTTCAGAGGTCACCAAATGCAGCTCAAAGCTGTTTTGAAAAGAAATGGAATGCGAAAGGAATTTGTTATAAGCGGTTTGGGGAAATTCAGATTATAAATCACTATAGTCGACATTCCTTTCTAACCTGTTCGTGATCATTTGATAACATTTGCGCAATTTCTATAAACATATTTTTAAAAAAAAAAATATTGTTACTTACGGATAAGCAAGTTTTATATTTATCGAAATAATTATTATCAAGATTAGAAGCCGTGGAATTAAATGACATTTTTGGATAGACTGACCGTGAATCTTAATATTGGCGAAAGTATACAGAATTTCGTTTGTTATTATTCATTTCATTATTCATGTCTGCTGTTTTTTTATGTTTTTACTATATTTGTTGCATAATTAATTTTTATTTATTTTTGGTAGTTTAGTAATAATACTTCAATTATTCAGTATTATTTTAATTAATAATTAATGTTTAATAAATTATTAATTAGTAAAAATTATTTAAAAGGGATTAAGAAATTTTAAAAAATCAAATTTTGAATAACATAATTCTTTACCCAAACACCTGGAAGCCAGAATTTTGAATTTTCGAATTTGTTTAATTAACTATTTCACATATTATCTATTGCAGTATTTTATATTACGTCTAAAGCGATGGTTTTTAACGTTTTGTGTGTTACATTTATTTATTAAATATCATTTTATTCGCATTTTAAACGACATAAAATTCAATTCAACAGCAATATCACAAAATATTTAAAGACAACATATCTTCAGAATTTCGGATAGACAGTCTCCCGTGCTGGAGATAAAATTGCTTTTTTCTGTAAAGTGTTGCCACTGCTCCCTTTCAAATCGTTAAATTTGTTAATCAAAAGTTCGTTAAAGTTTTACAAAATATGAAATAGATAATAAAACAAATTCGGTATTTAAAATTCGAGCTTCCAGGTACGCATTTTCTGATAGAGGATTAGGTTTTTCAAAATTTCATGGGTCTAGACACCGTCGTTTTTTCACAATGCGGGAAACATACCTACATTCATGCACATTCTCCTTTATTTAATTTCTTTTAAAATAATACAGAGCGATAATATTTGGTGGCAGCAATTTGAAAAGTGATTCAGCCTGTTACAGTGACTCAACGCAAAATCCCATTTCGAGACTAAAAGCCCTTTTTAGCTTCTTTCTGCTAATAAATGCTACTTTTTAGGATTTCTTTTTGAACTTTCTTGAGTGTTACTTTGGGAAAGTGCTTAAATTTCGTATTTACAACTATGAATTTTACACGAAGAAGGAAACTGTTTTTAGTCCAAAGGAATTTGTCTCTAAAGAACTATTGTTTTAGTTTTGCGATGTTGCGTCGAATCACTACAAACGGCGAATGACTTTTCAAACTGTTGCCACAAATTATTATCGCCCTGTATTAAAGAAATTAAATAAGGAAAAATCTTCATAAATGTATGTATATTTCTCATTGTGTTAAAACAATGGTACATAGAGCCATCGAATTTTGAATGACGTAATCCTACGAATACGGGCATGTGGAAGACCTAATTTGAAATTTGGAATTTGTTTTGTCATCGATTTCCTATTTTGTGAAACTTTAAACGAATTTTTGATTAACAAACTGAAGGATTTCAAAGCGAGCCATGGCAACGTTGTACAGAAAAAGATTTTTATCTTCAGCGCGTGAATCTCTGTATCGGAAATTCTAAAGATATGCTCATTTTAAAACTATTTTGCTGTATTGCTGTTGAACTGAATTTTATGGTTTAAGTGCGAAGAACGTGATATTTAATAAATAAATATAACATACAAATGTTAAAAAAAACGCCTCTTTAGACGTAATTTAAAATCTGAAACCTTTTTTTTTTTTTTTTTTTTTTGTTTGTTTGTTTTTTTTGTCACCGCTGACTGGGCGGTTCAAACCATTATATCCAGTCAGTGACTACCTAACCACCCACAGCTTTAAGGCATGGCGGCAGGTAGAATAATCGGGCATTTATTTCTGTGTAGTAGCAGAATTACAATAATAGTTTGCAGATGCAGTTCCGCATACATTACATGGAAATGAAATCGGCAGACAATAGAATTTTACAAATCCTATAAAAAGAATATTTGCAATGATGTTTTAATAGTTGCAGTTTCGGAAGACAAAATTTGAAGCAATGTCTTTACATATGAATTTACATTTTCGAATACATATGACTTTACATTACATCATTATTTACATTTTCGACTGTAAGACACATCTGATTCCTTCTACAGTGAACTACGTAGTTTCTGCCCCTATTATCTTCTCATACCCTTTGCAACCACGGCGTGCTACGCTTTATATCTGTAACTTCTTTGTAGATAATTTTTTCATTTCATAAATTTATATTTAGAGTTACAAGCAGACTACAGATACTTCCCTTCAGTTTAAAAAAATAATGGAAGGATACAAATAACATTACTTTTGAAATGTTGATACTAAGAAAATAATTTCATTTCAGCTGATAATTGTGTGTCAATAAATGGCAACACAAAGCTTTTAAATCTCAGCGATTTAAAAGCTTTGTGTTGCCAATGAGATACTTACCCTTCAAACTTAATCAGAAAATTCGGCAATATAAACGAAGTGTGTTGCTACTCAGGAAAACGCAACATACTTGTCTTCCGAATTTAATGAATAAACTGTATTTTAGTTGCACAATAATAACAAATTTCAGTTTACTTCCCTGAGTAGAACATTTATGAACAACGTGTTAAGTTACCTGAGTAGAACATTTATGAACAACGTGTTACAGTTACCTGAGTAGAACATTTATGAACAACGTGTTACAGTTACCCTGAGTAGAACATTTATGAACAACGTGTTACAGTTACCTGAGTAGAACATTTATGAACAACGTGTTACAGTAAAATTTTTTCATAAACGTTTTCACAATAAGAAAACGGATTATTAGAATGTTACGACTTTTACAGTTCACATAAATTACTGCTATTTTGATATAATTGTATTATAATGTTTCTCACTTTTATCTTTTAACTAAGTGTTGAGGAACCTGGTGAAACACTAAGCAAATAATCGCTTAAGTCTAAGAACCGAAATGTAAACTCACGAAGGGTTAATTACCCTTTATTGCTCAAAATAAAAGATTCACAGATGGCCCCTTTCTCAGAGCGTACAACAAAGCCTCCACTTAGGCTTAAGCCCAAAAATGTAAGAAATGAGAACTAACTAATGACTAACTAGTAGAGATTTAGCCGAAGCTAACACAAATTCTAAACTAGTTGGCTCGTAATATTGAATTAGCTGGCGAAGCTATCCAAAGGCACGTAATATGACCGAGCGTAGTAGAAGTCAGAGAGACGTAGCCAAAAGGCAAACGCTATTCAGGAATCCTAATTCTGTCTCTCGAAGTCAGTGGAACTTCGACGTAAACACTTACTCCTTCTCATTTTCATTTAACGCGATTCCAAAACCTCATTCTGGAAGGGAATTGTAAGCTGAAGCTAGAAGAGATAGGAAAGGTGCATAAACTTAAAATAACTGTTGTAAAATTAGGATACACCATATATCGAGTATATTTATTTTTATTATTACTGTATCCGCCCCACCGTGCCCGCCTTACTTCCGCATTTTTGAAATATGCTCTCCTAGCAAAAAAAAGATTACCAACACGTACATAGATAATAAAGGCACAAAATATTGCTTTTAGAACTGTAACGTTGCCATGCTGTAAAAGCATTTTCTTTTGTAAAATATCTACCAAATAACCAATGTCTGCATATTTTCTTCTAATTCAACCAGAATAATGAAAATATTTTTCTTTCCTTCTTTTTTTAATTCAGAAAGAGAGTAAAGAAAGCGGAGAGAAGAAAGAAGAGAAAAAAGAAGAAAAGGAAGGGAAGGAAGGGAAAGAGGAAAGGAAGGAAGCTCGGAAAGTGGAGAAAAAGACTCTAAAGGAGGAGTAAGTAGCGTGTATTTAGGTTCTCTTTCCTGGAACGCTGTGTTTTTCTATTCAACGTGATTACATAAAATGATTAGGTGTTTTAAAACATGCATAAAAGTTTTCTAATTAATTTTCTTCCTCTACTGCTATCTCTCTCCAGCTTCTCCAGCGAATGTGCTTAATTACATACAAAATGTTACAGAAAAAATTCAGAGAGATATAAACGATTAACATTTTCATAAAGTCAGCTACAAATACGAATAAGTGCTATTTTATTCAATGCAACGCATGAATCACTAATGTAATCAACGTACCTCTTCTTTCCATCGTCATGCAAACTGCGCAACAACATCACCAAAATATCTGATGTGTACACCACATGACTTCCTTGTACGGAATATTAAATTATACTCATTTTTTCTTGCATTTCATTTACACTTATTGGATTGAATTAAATCTACTTCGCCGACAGCGCATAATCCACAATAGAATAAATGCATTCTTTAAAATTCACCCTATTTGTTTACCATAGCGACACTCTGGCGCTAGGTTTACTTAACAGCGTTATATTTCGTTCATATTATACCTCAGAATGAACAAAATTTATATCATTTAAAGAATTATATAACCTTTGTCACATGTTCTATTCAAATACTATAACAAATCTAGAACGATGTTTAAAAGAAATTAAGGAAACAAAACAAAAAAGAAACAGTTTTTCACAGACGATTCAATGTTTCTCATTCAATTAATTCAGTTCTCACTTCGCGAGAAGGCCAAAAATACATAAAAACTCAAAATATCCGTATTAAAAATTACGAAGTAAATCTTAAACGCTTATTTCCTCGAAAAAATTCCAGAAAGTATTAAGCATGATTTAATTCGAAATAATAAACGAAGGCGTTTTCTTTGTTGTTGCGAAGCTTAGTCTCTCTAGATTGGCAACAAATCTACTATTGTGTTGTTTCAAATGTAAACAAACATGTCCACCATGTTATTTAAAAATTAGGCTTAACCGCACTTAAACAGCTTTTAGATTGTTGATAATTTTACAAATATGGCTTGCAGATTTCCTAAAAACCTTAACCGAAAGATAAGAACAACATATTTCAATCATTTTTAAAGCAAAAAATTCACAATTTACAACTGTGTAAGAGTAAAGATATTGAGATCACTGAGCCGGGTTACAGAGTGGATATATATATAAATATATTTATATACGTTTAGTGTGGTCGATTGCAACCAAAATACGAGGTGCACATCTACATGTTATAGCAGTCCTATATACAAAATTACAACGTTCTGAGGGGACTCGTTTTTGAGTTATGTGAGATACATACATACGTACGTACAGACACCACGAAAAATTCTTTTCAGAATTCATTTTAAAGCAGTTTTATAATTTTTTTGGAGGAAAAGAGTATTTTATTCTGTCGTTACGTACAGATGTCACGCAAAAACATTGTTAAATTGCATTCGATAGCGGTCAAAATGGATATTTTCGTTGAAATATGCTACCTGAAACTTTTCGCGATTACAATACTTCCTTTTTACTTCGTACAAGGAAGTAAAAAAAAAAGAGGGGGCAGTTTTAATATCCCGTTCTACTGGGCCTATTGACGAAATTTACGTTCTTCATGTCTCGAAACGCGACTTAGGATATGTATTAGATTTATATATAGCTTCATTCTAACACAGATATTTTGACACTATAGTAGTGGCCAAGCCGAAATAGGCTCTTTTTTCTCATCTCCTGCTGAAAATAATCTTAAAACAATGAATGGTTTCGGATTCCACCAATACAAACAAGAAAATGATATGTATTGCTGGCAAAAATCTGCATTCCTCTGGTTTCTTGGAATATTTTTACTTTACCACTTCACTGAATTTTTTTGCTTGTTTATTGCTTCCTGTACTTGGTTGCATGTTGCGCCTGCTAAGAGTATTGAATAAACTCTTGTATCTTTACATGTAGTGAAAGATTTTTCACTTCATTTGCAATCAACCTTAATTGTCTTTTATTATAGTATTTTTCTTGAATAAAATGTTTCCATTCTCTTTAGTGAAATCTAGCATTTAATAAATTCAGTTCGTAATTCATTCTTTTACTGCAATGACAAACCTGGATTACGTTTATATAAATTTTTCATAAATGAATATAAAGATATAAGGTTTTCTAATATTAATTGCTTCAATGATATGCTTGTGTTGAAGATATAATCTGTTATAAGTATCCTACCGAGTAAAATCATTGAACAACAATATCCTTCGTGTTCAAATAGTTGGCAGAAGACAGGTTGATCCTAGAGATGTGTCCATATTCGTAGTTAAAAGTAATGGATATGAACCTGAATCCTTAGAAAACGTTTTCCCGAAACCTTAAAATCTTAAATTTTTCATGAAGCATCTGTTTTTAGCGAATAGACTTCGTTGCTTAACAAAACAAAACAAAACATAAAATTAATGATAATAATTACGTCCCATAAGGCTTTTCTTTTATTTACGCATACATACATGTTTCGAGAGCATTTGAGCTAAAAGTATTTAAAAAGCAGCATATCTTTAAAATTTCCGGTACAGAGGCTGTTCGGACATGCTTTAGACGATTTTGGTAAGCGGTAATAAAAATTCGTTTGCTGCAAAAGAAGTAATTGCAAATTGTACTATGTTTTTAAGAGTCAAAATTATCTTCTGTGGCTTGAAAGTTTTGTTTTTATTCAAAATGGCGAATTTAACAAAGCAGTGGTTCGAAGGCTACATTTACGCTCTTTCCGAAGAGAAATATGCATACTCTGTTATCCGAAAACGATGTGAGAGTCATGTGTTTTTGTGATATCTAAAGTGTCGATAGGTAATATCATCAACAAGAAAGACTAAAAACGTCAATCTGGAGCCTCAAGTGGGACAAAAATTCCGAACAAGTATCCAAAGAAAAAAAGGACATCTTCGACTATTGCAAAGGTACGTTGTTTAATGTTAAAAGAAAATCCCCCTAGTCAAAGGACAGTTGCAAAATCATTAAAATGCCCGGTGTCCACTGTAAACAAAATGGTAAACGTTGATTTAAATCTTAAGAAAGCGAAAAAACGCAATTCGTCATCGTCTTCTTCCAAAGCATATCGCTCAACGCAGGACGCGCTGCAGAATTCTATATGAGAAACACTTATACAAAGAAAAATGGAAAACAGTTGTCACAATAGATGAAGAATGGGTGTATTTAAATGATTGTACCAAAAAAATAGCCATTTATTATAAAAGAGGAGAAAAAAATTTAAGTACATGGTTCAAGAATCAAAAGAAGTTTTCTAAGGAGTCATGATTGTTGCTGGTTTTTCTATAATGGCAAGCAAAATAAAGAAAATGAAAAAAAAAAAAAAAAAATGTCAAGATTAACTCCAAATACTATCAGAACATGTTTATCGCCATTTTTCTGAATGAAATACCATCGCTTATCCAAAGTGCCATCATCTGTGAGACCCATCAGGACAAACTAGCAGTCACACATCAAAATCCACTGTAAATTTCCTAAAAGAAATGGAAAAAAAAAACTGATATCAAGGCCATACCCTTCACTGATATCCCTACTCAATCTGCCGATGTGTCACCTATGGATTTTTGTGCTTTCGGACTTTTATCCAAACGTTGTCCCAAATTCCTAACAGGACTCTGGACAGCTGTTCGGGAGGAATGGGATAGAATATCTCTTCTGCCATTATTATCCTGGAAATTGTGGTGTCGAAAGATGGTTCAGAATAAGGGATGTCAAACAGAACATTTACAACACAAGAATTTTATGTAATTTAGTTTTGTGAATACAATACACATCGTCTAAGAAATGTGTGAACAGCCTCTGTAGATAGTTTCGCGTGCTGGAAATAAAAATATTTCATTCCTCACGTTGTGTTGCCACTGCTCGTTTTGAAATCGTTGAGTTTGTTACCTCAAAATTCGTTAAAGTTTTACAAAATATGAAATAGAGAATAAAACAAATTCCAGATTCCAGCTTCCAGGTGCCCATATTTCTATGCAGGAATACGTTATTGAAAATTTGATGGCTCTAGGGTACCGTTGGTTTTTTTTTTTTTTTTTTTCACGATGCATGAAACATATATGCATTCATGCATATTATACAATATTTCATTTTTTTAGTATAATACAGGGCGATAATATTTGGAGCAAAAATTTGAAAAGTGGAACGGATATTTATAGTGAACCGATACAAAGTGCCGTTTCCAGAATAATAGCCCTTCTGGGCTAACGCCTCTTTGGGCTAATAAACTGCGAATTTGAATTTGTATTTGCTTTCCTTGTATCCTTATTTTTCCTTTTTGCATTTGGTATCCGTGGGTGTTTTTGTTTTTTTCCCTTACAGTGTTGCCATTGCTCGCTTTGAAATCGTTGAGTTTCTTAATCAAAAATTCGTTAAAGTTTTAAAATAAGAAATAGATTTCAAGATTAATTCAAGAAAAATGCTAGGAAATAAACAAATAATAGAATAGATTTCAGTATACGAAAAGATTTCGAAATTTAATATTCGGGCTTCCAAGGTGCCCATGTTCGGGTGGAGGACTACGTTTTTCAAAATTAATGGCTCTGACTGTCCTTGTTTTTACATACGTACATTCATGCATATTCTTCATTATTTAATTTCTTTAAACATAATACAGGGCAATAATATTTGTTGGCAACAATCTGAAAAGTGAAACGCACATTTAAAATAATTCAAAGCAAAGTTTCGAGACTGATAGCCCTTCTGGGCTAAACGTCACTTATAAATAGAAAGGCTGCAGTTTAATCATAAAACTGAATTGGCACATTTTCATAAGTAAGAGTGCGTGATAATAACTGAGAAAATGTACTTGGAAAATGAAAAATTTGCCATCGAAATGGGAATTCCACTGGCATACATGTTTGTAGCCACGCATGCCAGCACAGCTGCTAGAACTGTAGCCCAAGAATATTTCCTACTTATTTCGTAAATCAATTTTACGCCATCTGTGCTTGTTCAGATGGCATTC